GTTGGTTCGGTTTGAGTGCTGGAATTATTTGGAATTTGGGGTATTATTTGGAATTTTGGGGATTATTTGGTCTGGCTGAGTGTTGGTGCTAAACTGCTTCAGTTTAATTAGTTTTAGACTTATTTAAAACCTGAGAATTCCAGGTGAAAACTGGAATTTTAAGGGAGAGAAAATAATTTCTTCATCCAATTTGGCCATTGCCCTTTGGAGGAGGAAGGAAAATATCTTTAAAGAGGGATTTGACGTGGATTTGGTGTAAAAATTACACAGTTTTGGGGTTCTATAATATCCTTTAATACTAAAAAGTTCAGGAACAAATGAGAAATATGGAAATATTTCTTTGAGTTTTTTTCTGTTACCAGAAGAAAGTGGTTTTGTCATCATTAGTAGTAGCTTTAATTGAAATTATTTTTTCTAATTTTATAGAGATAAAATAGGAATAAAAGCTCAAAGTCTGGGTGGTAAATGATGAAAATGATTTGAAAGTAATTAAGAAGGAAAAGAACTAAAAAATAATGCAAATACTTAAACCTGGGGGAGAAACAATTTTTCAAGGTGCAAAATGGTTTTAAAATATTTGAATTAATATTTTTATGACATTTATCTAAAGGTGAAATAAAACTGCCGTAATTATTATTTTTATTTATGACATTTCTTTAAAGGCAAAATAAAAATATCCTAAAATTTGGAATCTTAAGACCATTCACACTGACCATCCACCAATTAAATTATCCAACATTTCTGGCCTGATTGTAATATTTAGGTAATTATTTCATTCCCCATTCCATTCATAAAAGGAATATTTCAAGGTCTGTTTGGACCTTAAACCTAAATCTGATCTTTTTCCTGGTAAAATCACCTGGGAGGAAATAAATGGAATTAATACTTAAAGGCTCATTAAAGGCATTGACCCCACAAGGCTTTAGAAACTCAGATTTTTTTTATCTCCTGATGTAAAATTAGTTAAATAAAACCCCTATAAAGACACACATGGCCCAGGAGTGAGAAAAAATATAAGAAAAAAATTTAAAAAAAAAAAAAAAAAAAGAAGAAATGAGAGAAAAAATAAGGAGTGAGAGAAAATAGATGGAAACCCAGCAACTTAAATTTAAAATTCAAATTTTTTCACTTCTCTGCTGCTTGACTAGGAAAAAAAAAATCGAATTTTATTTGTATTTTTAGCTTCGAATGTGTGTTTTGGAGGCAGAGAACCTTTCCCTGCTCC